TGCCCGGTTTTTTTCCTTGTATACACAAAAAAGTAGATGTACTATTAGATATTGGGTGGCAAAGTGGTTAATGCATTATGCTGCTAACCAAAAGGATGGCAGTTCAAACTCACCAGCAACTCCGTAACAGGAAAGATGAGGTGCTATGCATGTGTAAACACTTCAGCCCTGAAAACACTACAGGGAGCAGCTATACTCTGAGTTTAGAGGGTCACCAGGAGCTGGGAAAGACGTGCTGGCAGATGGCTGGGTCTGGCTTTATCTTTAGTTGTATGTACTACATTCGATGTTGCAGCATATGATTTCCTGATGCCCTAATATCTGCAATTCCCTGTGTGGCATTTCCAACTCCCTAAAGACAAATAGGACACTCTAGTAGTGGTAAGGAGTTGGCACTGCCAACTCAAAGGCACACGGTTTGAATATGCCAATTGCTCCACGGCAGAAAAATGGGCAATCTCCTCTTGTGCTATTTACTGCCTCTGAACCTGCTGGAGGCTCAAGTACTAGTTGGTTCTTATTCAACAGTACATAAAGCAAAGAAGCGAAGTGAGGACAAGACTCAAAAAGTACTAGTAATGAAGGCAGTAATTTTACTTACATCAGAACCAACTGAGAAGCACGTCACTGGGAAGGAACCCTGTATTAAGTCAGGGACCACTCATAATGACTTTTCTGACTCTTCTCTCTACCTCTATTTTGAACCTATGGCACACTACACACTAAAGAATTTAAAAAGGGGATTCCATTCCATTCAAGCCACTTGTAATATCCTGTAGGCTAGAAATTATAGCTTTTGAGAAGATAGAAAGGAAAAATGATGATGCACACTAAGCACTACAATAAATATGACTGTTTTAAAGATTCTGTCCAAGATTAATACAAGAATGAGGGAAGAAGACACTTAATTCTCATCTTCCAGAGCATAAATTCAAGAAAAGCCTAAAAGCTCAAAATTGAGAATAGCAACTTTAACATGCTATTTTTTAAAGTAGAGGTAAATGCCAGGAGAAAAAAAAATTGGAAAAGTTATCTCAGGGGAGCATTCCAGAAGAGAGATGAAAGTTATCTCAAGTTGCCAAGGAAGACAGAAAGGGTAAGAGGAAGAACGTGAACAAAAGAAGAAAGGGGTTTAGACCAGAGTAAGAATTGAGAAGGGTTACTCTGGATGAGCCAAAAACTGGGGACAGGAAGATCAGATCAAGTCTGGGTAACGTCACTAATACAGGGAACACTGCATTTGTTCCTTGCTAAGCTGGAAAATTACCTCATCAAAAGTAGCCTACAGCATTGAAGTCTACAGGGGAGAGAATAGTTTAAAAGTATTATATTTTAGGGCATTATTTTTATCGTAGGAGTATGCAATGAGGGTTGCAGAGTGAATTATATTTGGGGTTGGGGGTGGGATTGGGGGAGGTGCAGGGGGGATTGTGTACCAATGAGGGAGTTTTTCTTTTGCTTTTCAAGGACAGGAGCAAAGGGGTGGGGGGTGTGCGGGGAGAAGGGTGCAACAATGAAGAGGAATGGAATTCCAAAATCTCTGTAGATGTTCATTGAAATGAAAAATAAATAAATTTAAAAAAATTTTTTTTTAAAAAAAGTAGCCTAACAGCAGATTACACAATGTAGAGTGATTACAAACAGGGAGAACCAGAACTCAAACAGGCAGCTCTTCAAAGCAGACCAGACATGCTCTCCATGTAGGGAGAAGACTTTGCCATTAATTATATTACATCATAATTCTTGCAACTTTCCATGATACTCTTTAGCTATAAATATGAAGCTATCAGACTTCAATCACACATACCTGAGAATTAAATCCTAATAAAGTATGAATCACATTCTATTGAAAGGTTCTGAAATAAATCTAAAAAAACCAGAATCATCCTTGATAAAAGCTTTATTTTTAAAACTGTATCTCTTAATACCCAAAATAAATAAGCCAAATAATTTTAAAGCTTAATCTAGGCACTGTGTCTGCTCATATATTTTTTTCCTTTTTAGTTCATAAGAGGTTGGTAGCAGAATTTAAAAAGTAACTATACATTTTATAGATCCACCCCTCCAAAAGCTGTAAAGCTATTACACACAATCCCAAATTGTGTATTCTATCATGATTCTCCTGTCTGCTAATCCTTGCTAATAAATCAGTAGCAAAAAGTCACATCAAACATGAAAAATAAAGAGGGGGGAATCTACTGGGTCCTCAAAGGCCCATCAACAAATGAATGACTGAGAAATTGTGGTACATTCACACAACGGAGTACTACACAGCACTAGGAACAATGATTTGGTAAAATACTATGTAACATGGGAAAATCCAGAGAGCATTATGCTGAGGGAAATAACTTGGTCTTAAAAAGAGCAAATACTGCATAAGACCATTACTGTACAAAGAGAAGGGCAGTTGAGCAAAATGTTGAAAAGGGGAAGGAGAAAGGGGACAGAAAAAAGAGAAGGTGACAAATCACTAGGACAGCAGAGGTTAGAGGGTGGATATGGGAGTGAAGGAGTAGGAAAGATTCAATAGGGACTTGAAAAAACAAGCAATAAGAGGAGGCACAGCACAGTAGTAATTACATAAAATACAATGTATATAAATGACTGTATAAAACATAATGCACACAAATGAAACACAATGTAAATTAAAGACTATCAAATACATATGCATGAAGCAGTATATATGAATAATTGTATGCAAAAACATTGTATGCTGTTAACCTAGCACATGAGTCATTCAATGATAAAGAATCAGAATTCGCTCAGTTATTTGAAAGAGTGTGTTTAAAAAAATTTAATAGTTTACTAAACATGTATCTTTGCATGTAAGTGTTATAATATTTACACTGAAAGTATTATTCTACTTTTTAAAAACACAATAATATTTTTCTAGGTGGAAAATAAAGAAAACTAAGTTTACTTGTACAGAAGATACCTAAAATTTGGGGAAAATCACTACAAAACTGTTGTATAAATTCTTTGTTTAATCACCATAGAAATCCTATCAAATAATAAATACTACAGAATTAGCATTTATTGGATGATGATGATGATGATTGGATTTTTATGGAAATTTCCTAAATCTTCACAGAAATCCTATAAAATAATAATAGTGCAGTGGTAATGAACTGTGCTACAATCCTAAAGGCATGCAGTTCAAATCCACCAGCTGCTCCCTGGGAGGATGGGCAATCTCCTCCTGTGTGGTTTATTGCCACTGAAAACCTGCTGAAGGGTCGGCTATGAGTCGGTTCCAACCCAGTGGTGCTCAACTACAAAAACAGTTTCAGCTAACTAACAGGAAAAAAAAAAAATCAGCTCAGAAGAGCCAAATAACTTGCCAAAAATCAAATAACTAGTCAAGAAAAAAAGGATCTCTGATGGCCACGTGTGTAAGGATTTGGATTGTCAACCCTATGGCAGGCCGGCAGGCAGTTTGAGCACACAAGCTATTCCACTGAAGAAAGACAGGCCAAGCTATTCCACTGAAGAAAGACAGGCCATCTCTTCCTGTACAATTTACAGCCTTTGAAAAACTCCTAGAGGGTCAGCTATGGGTAGGTTCCAACTCAATGTCAATGAGTTGAATTTGTGAGGAAAACAGCAGATTTGGATCCCAAGTGTTCTAACTCCAAAGACCTTCCTCCACAGGACCACTGTGGCTTCCAAAATTATTGGACCAATAGAACCCCATGCCAATGTCCAGCAAAAGCCTCTACGGTTTGCTCAGGATGAAAGTGGGGGAAACCTCACCTCATATAACAAAATCTTATAATCATCTTTGACTAAGGAATGTTCAAATTTTAACATCCTCTTCTGGGGCATTCTTTTTAGAACTACTAACTTCTCAGCACTACAAGGTAGCAAAGTTCTATAGTCAGTCATGAATACAGAACCTAAAACAAATTAAATAGCATCTCCATAAAACAAAATCTCAAAACATATCACATGTATTATTTATATATAATCTGTAATATTTACAACTGGCTTGCTAGAATTATGAGGACTTTTGGGATTAAATGATGTGTAAACATATACAATCGTTTTATAAAACAGAGTGATAACATTTTACTTCTTTATATTATTCTTGCTATTAAAATATTAGTTGGTACTGATTTAATCCTTACCATCTTCCTACATTTCCTCCACCACCCAAATTTTAGCCAAGTCATGACACTGATAATTAATGACCACAGTTTTAGGACTATCTTGGCCATCAGTGACTGAAAGTAAGAAGGCATGCAAGGGGAGGCACATTGAGAACAAGGCGAGGCACACTGAGAACGGCAATGATTGAGGGATTCAAGTAAATAAATATTTAACATCACCATCAAAGACACAAAGGAAAAACTTTAACTATAGAAAATCAAAATAATCTTTACGGAAAATACTAAGATGGAAAAATACAAGTATATGGAACAAATTTATTAGCTCAGTCAAAGCAATATAAACAATCACCAGCAACTTAAAAATATAACTAAGTCTATACTGTGTATTTTATTTTGGAGTTTTGTTTTTTTTTTCTGCTTCTGGTTTTGAATGCACACTCATCCTGTGCTTGATTACTATCAGGATTGCCTTTAACAAGCCACATCATAAAGAGTGGATAAAGTTCAAGTTTGTTTAGAGGAGCAATTCACAGTCCTGGGTTTACAACAGGCAAGAATGTCTTAAATCACTTTAAGGACCATCAATCAATTATATAAAAACTGTCAGCATTTTAATTCACTTGACTATTATTAAAGTTATGACATATAAAACTTTAATGATGAAAGATGATGGAGGATAATTAAAACAAAGTATAACATCTTCATTCCAAATGGAGTGGTAAATGGTGGCTTACATATGATTACACTCACAATCACCTTTCCAGACGAACTCTATTCAGTACACCAGAGCTAGCAATATTACTAGATTCGAAATAGATAAGGTGGACATATAGACAAACATTTACAGTCATGTAAGCGAAACAGAAAGGCAACAGTGCTCAAAAGACTCACCTTTTGTTGACTGGCTTTTCATCCTTTTCATAGGGACGAACAAACCATTTCCCAATCCTAACGAAGTTCTTATCCATGAGGCACCTATAATAATGTCAGTAACAATTACTTTAATAGTTTCAAAAACAAAATTAACACACTAAGTTACTGAAACAATATTGGCTGATGAAATACGGCATTAAAATATATGCTCTCAAGATGTTTTCTTAAAAATGATTTCATTTTTACTCTATCCTTATTAAAACGAACTCTTACTGGAGGCATCTACCTTAGTATCAAACTACACTTGTAAAAAGTTTCTTTTAAAAAGGAGTTAATTGGTTCCTTAAACATCTCCACACCTGTGCATTACTTAAAAAAAAAAGGAAAAAAATTACACTACATTTCTAAGTTACTTCAAAGACCAGTGTCATCAGGAATGTTGAAGATGTAGTATTTCTTGAGTCCCCCAGAGAAAAACCATTCAAAGTACTGTGATCTATTCTTCAAGTTTTAATGCTGGCCTTTTCTTGCTTAACAAATCCTGGGAGCTTGCATGTTAAGCACTGAACAGGTACCTGAAAGGCCAATGGTTCGAATCGACCAGCTACTCATCAGGAGAAAGAAATGGAGAAAGATCTTCTGTAAAGATTTACAGCCTTGGAAACTTATGGGGCAGGGTTCTACTCTGTCTACAGGCTCACTAGGAGTGGAACTCACAGCGAGGTTTTTCCTTCCTTGCCATGTGACACACAGTCCTTGGCAAGTAATAAAAACATAAAATACCTTCACCATGGGTAGTAATGCCTTGCTTACTGTTTTGTGTGAAAACAAAGAGTAGAGCTATGTCTTCACTGAAGTTTATTTGTTTTCTTCATACCTAAGTTTCCTCGCTTTCAGTTCTATGCTTTTTTGTGTATATTATGTTTCATCTCAAATCACGGTGATCTGTTTGAAGACATATTACATGACAATTGAGCCCAACTCACTTAATGCCAACACAACACACAATTCAATTGAAGCGGCAATATGAATAGCTATGGCCAAGTTCAGTCATGTGCAGGCAAATGACAACTATATTATAGCTGCCATCTGGCCAATTGTGAGACGCCATCAATTGTAAAGAGTACCTTGATTTCAAAGACATAAAAATGTGAGAAAAATAATGTACACTTTGAAATTGATGATATACAGTAATTGGTAACATCATTCAATGAAATGACATGTATTTTTAAGGAAAAGCTGTCAGAAATCTCGATGTAATTCTTCTCTATACAAGGTCCCTCAGAAAAAAAGCTGTACAGCAATTCTTTATTCAATATTCAAGCAATTCCGCACTTGGCCTTTGTGTCTGTAATTTTCACACCACCAGGGAGGATGGAAACAATTCGAGCCTTCACTCAACTCATTACAGGTTGGAAGGGTTAGTAAATGGCAACAGTTTCTTCCAGTTCCAATGGAATTCCCTTTGGAGCACTGCTGACTCAAAAAGACACTGGCTTCTACCGGGGGTGGGGGGGTGGTTTGCTGTTGTTTTTTAAATTAATTTCTACACCAATCTTCCTTGTTCAGAATGAGGAAAAGGAAATAATTTTCAGAGGAATCTAATCTGTTTTCCTGAACTTATCATTTAGGGTTAAAAACCATGAGACATCATTAAGTTTACAACAGGAAATACGAAACAGCCAGTAATCAAGAAACAACACTGAAAAAGTATCTCCACAGTTAACTACTAGTTAAGAATTTTTTTTTTAATTTTTAAACTATACGTAGAGAAACCATGCTTGTCATTACTCTAGAACAACATTTCCTCAACTCCATCTTTCCTAAAAACATCTTATAATTATAGGCCTTTTTACTGTGATAGTGTCTCTTCACTATTAAAAAGTTATTTATATAAAGATGTATCTTAAAATCAGTAACACTTGAAAAGAAAGAGTCATGCACCAGGCACAGGATCACAGCAAATATTAAACAATGTCTTCCAGTGGCATTTCAACCTCATTAAGTGTACACCATTTAGAGGTGTGTGCTATTTTCTCATCTATACCTTGCAAAAGAAAGATTTATTCTCTAAGAGAGAAAACAACATGAATTTATGGTGCATAGGTAGAAAAAAAATCCAATGTGTTCGAAAGCATACCATGAAGATAAAACAAAGTATCTGTGGCTATAAAGGACAGTGTGTAAAGTTTGCTTCAAAACCTCTACCCTTTTGTAAAAGTAAAAGTCACAAATCCTGTGTGATGATTCCGTTACAGGAAAAACACAAAGGGGGGAAGGAAGAGGGAGGCAATGCAGTCAAGAGCGCTCAAGGGCAGAGTCAAAAGGCACAAAGCTACTGAAAATTGTATTTGAGCTTCTAACTCTCTATGCTGAGGTATCTCCTGGAGTTCCCCCTACTGATCTTTTTTTTTATTACCAGGCAATGTCAACAAAAGACTGACATTAATATACTAAAGAGCCCTGGGAACCAGTGATCCTTCCATCTGAACCCAAGTGGTTCTCAATGAGAGTCATCAATGACTTGGGTGGTGTCCCACTGATAATCGGTTTCTACATGATGAAGTGATTTCCTACACAGAGAACAACATGAAAACACAAAATTGCATTGGACAGATTTGTATTTAACTCAATTTGTCCAATCTGCAGAAGCAAGAAGTTCTAAGTCTATGCTGGCCTAGGCAGCAGTGGTAGGACAGAAGGCGAGCTATGTCACCCAACCACCTCAGAGAAGGGGGTACAGTGAAGTTGCTGAATACTACACTACAGCCCCCTTTTCTCTGGCCTGACTCCCATCCAACAGAGAACGAATTACTGAGATGAGAACAAGAAGTGGAAGGTTGCATCTCTATAGCACATCAACAGGCAAAAGTAATTCAGTAATCTTCAATATTTAGGGTGTTCAGCTCACAGACGCAAATATAAACGTTACTTTTCCAAAATAAAGAAAAGAGAGCAGTGAGAGCAGAACTAGCCCCAGCCAGGTGTGCACACATGTACAAAGAACCCGCCCAGGATACTCCAGACTAAGAGTGCCTGCTTGGTGTGCAGGAGTCTGAGCGATGGGGAAAGTGGAGAGGAAGCGGAACTGTGCTCAGACAGTCCAGCTTCCAGCCCAGGTACTATGTGGGAGCTGCCACAGCAGCAGCACACTAGTACAGCTGCGACTCCGTATTCCAGGTGCCAGCTCCTGGGTTCACAACTGTTGTTTATTTTTCAAAGATCGATTTTTAAAAACTAGAACTAATGAAAACTAGTATTGACTTGGGCTCTTCCTCCCAGGCAGAAGAGTGCATACAAGAGCAAAGTTACACACAATTGGGTGTAGTATTAAGATCTCTCTGAAGCAGAAATAATAGTAAAGAATCTTCTCCCATTTGAGTTACAGCCTCTGAAATTGGATGGAGGACTGGCTACAAATTGGTTCCAATGCTAGGGTAATGAGTGTGGGTTCTGAGCTACTACCGAGCCAGTGTTGGCCAGAATCCTCTAGTCCATCCTCCTCAACCTGACCAACTCCCCTTTCAGGATCCAGGCCAAATCTGCTCCGTACTCTAACATCGGCAGAGCAGCACTCTCAACTGCTCAATTTTAATACTGTATTTCTATGGCTCTCTTCCCACAAAGGAGATCTGGTGGTTTAGTGATTAGGAGTTTCTCAGCCATTCCAAAGGCCCACAGTTCCTGTCCACCAGCTGCTCCTGGGGAGAAAGATGGACAGTCTATGCTGTGTGATAGACTGACTCTGAAAACATGCTGGAGGGTAGGTCAGCTAGAAGTCAGTTCTGACTGGATGGTACAGAACACCAACTATCTCTTAGAAGTAGGGCTCTGAACTGGTTCCCTCTGACTCTGATTGTATCCCCTGCTGAGGATTTGTCTTTCCTCTACACTAATGCATAATCTACATTTAACAAGATGCCCTGGAGATACCTGTATACACATAAGAATTACCTTGGGTCTTGTTAAAATGTAGATTCTGATTCACTGTTTCTGACAAGAAAAAGCAATTTTCAGCAGGGGTTTGAACCAGGACAAACTGGTTTGAAATCTTTTCATGAAACAAGAAGCCTCCTGCAAGTAGAAAGACCATTCTTTATTCTTGCTCACAGAATAGCCAATAGATATTGGAGGTATGCGTAGTCTGTAATGTGGTGGTTGCTTGCCAAGGTGTCCACGGTTCAAATTCACCAACAATCTTTTCTATTTCACCTTATTCAATCTGTTCAATCCTTCTAGGGAGAAAAGGCAGGTTTCTCCTTCCTGAAAAGATTTACAAGCTCAACAACCTGACTGAGAACCTCAAATAAGCTGGAATTTATTTGAAAGCAGTGGATCGGTTCTTAGGCCATGTGCTTCACTGCTATACATTAAAATGTGTTGACTAAAGAACTGAGAGATGCACAGAACACACGAGGGAATACTTTCCTATTCACAACACTTCCGCTCTGTTAATAATCACTAATCTTGGAAAATCTAAAACTGTTATCTGTACTTCTCACCAATGAGTCACTCAAACAATGTTTGAGGGCAAAATTTACACAATTTAGTTCCTTATAGGAGTGGCATCCACTTCCGAAACAGCTTGCCTCTGGAAACCCTATGAACTTGGAGAAACAATGGAAGTTATACAAGTGTTCACGTCTTTCACTCATAGGATCACTATGAATCATCTATGACTCGACAGCACTTAAAAACAGAGAGAGAGAGAGAAAGAGAGAGAACACACACGAGTGCGCGAGAGCACCGAGTTAGACAGAAAGTGATGCTATCAAGCCAAAGGTGGATGATTTTAATCTGTGGCCCTCACGCCTGGTTTTAACTGGTTTTGGTCAAACATTCTTCTAATTGGTTTAGCACTGGTCTGTCCACTTGCTGTACAGAGGTAACTCGTGGTTGCTGTGATGCTGAAACACTGTGACACTGATATGTCAAATGCGAAAATGGTTACCCAGGGTGGACAGTGTTTGGTGCAGCTCCCCAATTAAAACGAGTTTGGAAGCAGGAATGGCATCCACTTCCGAAATAGCTTGACTCTGGAAACCCTATGAACTTGGAGAAAAGATGACAGTTATACAAGTGTTCAGGGCTTTTGATCTTAG